GAGATGCATGGAATGCGCCTAGAGTCGATGCGAGAGGAATACAAACAGAACAAAGAAAAGCGAATGGAGGAAGTCCATCACCTCGAAGAAGATTGTAAGCTGCCAAAGACACTATGCAGAGATTTCGAAAAAGCACAGGAAACAGTCGAAAACGGCCTCTCCCTCCTAGCACAATTAAGCCTGTCTTGCCTTTCTGGCGAAAAAAACTATTCCGTTCTTGGATGGTATACAGAAATCCAAATGGGACTCCAGCAAGACTTCCTACAGAGTGCTTGTGGAAAACAACGACGAACCAATAGCAATTTGGGCAAACAAAGGCCTAGAGCGAATTCTCTCGCATGCAACAAGTTTGCGGAAGAGAAATCACGATAGGTGAAGGCGAACTACATTGGACTCCCAATGGGCCAATTTCTTTCGTAGTGCCTAGTAGGAGTTTCGAAACAGAAAATGGTGTTCCAATCTATTGGAATCCAGTGTCTGTCGTATCGTTGCCAGATGATATGGAAGAATCTGTTTGCCGAGCACTTGCTCTACGAATCTGCAGTGCAAGATCTCGAAGACTACACCAAAGGCAATAGAAGAAAGCGAATCCAACCAAAGCCAGCGAAACAGCGGCGTATATTCGATATGCTTCCTGGCGAATACATTTGTTGGAAATTTTGGCTTCTACAACCTATGGCGGAAACCAGAGAACCATACTGTGGCTGGTTCGACTGCAGATGGAGTGGAGACAACAGGCGTACATGTACCCGTGTGTGGATTCTATCTTGAAAAATCGAGCGGCTCGGGAGGACGATGCTCTTGAAACAGCGAAACTCAATTCTCTGCTCCATCGGGAAGCGAAAAGAACCCACAAAAAGAGCGATAGACTCTGCACGCTAGAAATTGCAAGGTCTACAAGACAACATGGCCAGTAGAAATGCAGAACAAAATCTTCCCACGATAGGCTACTGGATACAAACAACGAGAGACCAGTTCTTCCACTCCTTGGCGTTTCTGGAGAAATATGTCCAGAGTATGGTAGGAGTTTCTATTTTCTCGGCAATGTGTTCCAGATCTTGCAAGGAATTGTATTCCACACTGGGTATGTTTGCTAGGGCATTTGAACTCCTCGAATGGGAGGCGGGGTGGATTCCCTCTTTTGTATACAATATGCATGCTCGAGATGTATACACAGTACAGTGTATGCCGAATTGGGTACAATATTTTTTTTCTAGTCCATCTGGAAGGGTCCCTATGTTTTGGTGTTGCTGTTGTCGTCTCACATTGGGCCTGCTTGTGGACCGGCGGTGGTGGTGTGCTGTGCTTCCAGGTCTTGTGGATGACCTTCCAGAAAAAACAGCTGACTAGCGAAGGTAGGTCCACCTTTGGGCTGTTTCTAGCATCTGCCGCACCTTCTGGATATCAGGCGGGTCTCTTCTTGCTCCTCCTCGGCGTTTTCTATTTCCTCCTGGAGTTCTTCCTCGTCGTCCTTGTCCAGCACCGACAAGATGTCGACCAACAAATTCGTGGTTTGCTCCCACGCGGCGACAGCGTATTAGGTGGTTTTGCTCCACCGAGCCCGACATGTCGCTGTTTGCTCCACACGAGCCTCTAGCCTCCCCAAGCGATTAAGTAGAAGTCCTGGATGGTGGGCACAGTCGGCTCTGCAGCAGGCACTATGCTTACGCTGGTAGGCGGCTTCGCTGGCTGGCAATGCGCTACCGGCAGATGTCTCGATGGCGAGGCTGAGATAGCGCGAGGCAATCGTCTGTGCTGGGGTCGGCCTTGGTTGGAGCTATCTCTCCAGTGGTGCTGGTGAGGCGGTTCTGTGGCGTATTCCATATTTTCGCGTGGTCGATTGGAACCGATGCGAATCGTTGTCTGTTTTCTTGTGCTGGGACTTTTCCGCATCTTGCGAATCTCCTCCCACTTGGTCTTGCGATAGTTGTCTTTTTTTGGAGGCATTTGGTTGTACTATATATCTCTACAGTGGCAAAATTGTCTGTATGGGAAACTAGGGCACTAGGTGCAGACTAGGCAAACTAGGGCACACTAGACAAACTGGGGCACACTAGACAGAACCTAGAAGTTTGCTTGTTTTGCCAAGCATTTGCTAAATATTGCTAAGCATTTGGCAGGCAAGTAGCAGCAATACTTGGCAGCAGCAATAGCAGCAATACGGGTTCTTGTCTGCAAATGGCGGCATATATTAATTTTTCGCGACTTTAATAATATAGTACAACCAATACTTCAGAACGATATCAGACCAAGTGGCAGCACAGCGGATTCATTCGTCATCGATTCAATGGAACTGCGCGCAAACCGGAATCTGCAGGCGTCTGTACCGCCGAAGACTAACTCAAACTTAACAAACGCCTTATCGCGACTATCTCGCCATATCGTACGATAATAAACCGCCAGCGAGCAGATCTACCAGCGCAGCATAGTGCCTGCTGCAGGCGGCTTTATTACCATCCGGGACTTCTACGACAACGTAAACTGGGTATTAGGTAAATAACGGCGATATTAAATGAGCGTCGTTGCCGACTTCGTGAACAGAACTGCAATTTATTGATAGGCTTTGTCTTGTGGTGCTGAACTGGGAGCGACGGCGGGAAGAGGCAAAGCGATGGAAGAGCAGAAAGACCGTCTGAATATCGAAGATGGCGAACGAAAGCTGGCAAAGATGGACCTGCCTTTTGTTCTGGAAGGTCAAATCCTGACTTACCACGCGATCTATGGCGCGAACTTAGAGCATTTAACCTGCAAACATGGACACTTCCGAATGAACTGAAAAAATATTGTGCCAATACGTATACGCGTATTGTATCACCGGTACCAGAGAATCCGCCAACTGCCGAGGTTGAAAATGCCCTAACATGCCGGTGTGGAATACAATTCAGATCTGGTTTGCGAAGAAAATAGAAACTCTACCGTACGCGGACATGTTTCTCGAAGCGACAGGAGAATGAAACTGATCTTCTGGGTGTTGTATCAACCGGGCGTACGTTCTCTACTGGCCGTAATTGTAGCCAACCGAACGCTTACGGTACTGGCGTCGTCTATGGACTAACAATGAGTTCTTTAAACCGATAGACGGAGAACAGGTTTACTTGTTCGGCTCGTCTCCGGCAGACCATTCGGGCGACTGCGGTACATCGTCTGTTGTCTTCCGCTCCATCTGCGACCGAACAAATATGCAATATGTTCTCTGGTTTCGGCGTGGGTTGTGGCTTTCAAAATTTCAACAAATATCAATTAAGCCGAGGAAAGCATCGATATGCTGGCGTTGTTCGTTATTTTGTTGAACCGTTTCAACTATTGTTCAATGATCTGGAATCTTTGCACTGCCGTGGCGAAGACGTAACAACAAACAGTTCTTCCATGGCATCGTCTGGCAACGAACGCTTCCAATAGTTGAACGCCATTTTCTGTTCCGGCTCGCAAAATGGAAAAACCGGCCGATGAGACAATAAACGGATTAAACCACTATCGCTCTTTCGCCAAACTTGAACATCAGCAGAGAAGAGGATTCTGAAACGCTGTTTGTTGAAATTGCTGTTGGTGGGTAGTTGTTTTCACGAAGCGCTATTGAGGAAGCGCTGGAGTCCCGACTGATTTCTTATGCGCCAGAATAGTTTTTAGCCAGCGGGTACTGGCGGTAATGCTGAGACGTTTTCCGACCGGTAACTTTTAATCTGCGTAGCGTCTCTTAGAGATGATTTGACAACTATACTGGCATCGACTTCTGGTGTTCGATCTCGCCGTTATTCTGGCATGCAAAATGTCTTCCATCGTCTTCATGCTCGTTATCTTGTGCGATGGGCGATTTCGATATCTATATTTATTTCTATGCCCGATAGTGATCTTCCTGTTGGGGCATCGTGTCTGGGCGCTGAGCGACTTCATTTTCGAATGGTAATGGTAATGAAAGCTTTGTGTGGCGTGGTGTTCATGGCTGGCGGCGAATGAAGGACGATGAACAGGCGGCTGTGGCCAGCGTGTTGTCGTCTTCCGTTGACTTTGATTGGTTATGTAGTTCGATGTCGATGCCGATGATGTGCATGCCAGCTGCGGTGTGCTGCTGCTTGCCGATGCGGGCTGATTCGATGAATTCTCGCGTTTTGGCGGTGATTGTTTTACGATATGGGTTTTCCCCGGCTGGCTTTCTGGTCTTCGTCACCAGATAAGTTGACGACTGACGATTGTTGATTTCTATGCCGTGCAAAGAGACGTAAATGGCGGTACGACTACCTGGACATCTGGTTTTCGTAGTGTTCCGTTGAACAATCGACGATGACGTTCTGCGCGCCTCTCGACTTCGAAACCGGAAACTACACTGGGTAACAGATTTTTGTTAGCATCGACGCGGCATTCAGGACTGCGGGCGTGTTGCCGAGGATATTAGTCCCCTGCCGGTCTCCAGTTTCGAAAGTATCGGAAGTCGCGGTTACTCTGTGCCGAAATCGCGGTATAGTCGATAGAGCAGGCGAAAAGCAATATTATGGCGTCGTCCGGTGGAAATATTGGCTTGTATTGTTCAATAAGGTATTTCGAGACATCTACGCCGCGAGGAATATTCGATATTGGGTAGGTCTGCGTAAATTCCCATTATCTTTACTTGTAGAAGATGCCGATTCTTCGTGCAGTCTTCACGTGTGCAGGCCCTATACTACTCAACTAACTAAATCTAAAATCTAAACAGAAAATCTACTGAATCTACTGCATCTCAACCTTAACGATGTAAAACATATAACAGCCTCGGTATCTGAGGATGAATGTTTTGTTTCAGGGTAAAAAGACTTGATGCGGTGTGAACTGATGAGGACACAAGACCGTGACAATGAAAACTCCAAGACTGAATCAGCTGGCTGATATTCTGGTCGACCTCATGGGAGACGTCCCAGACTTCAGGGCCATCATATTTGCCCAGACTCGAGCCACGCGGCGGGGCCCTTGCTGACTGGCTCAACAATGGCGTTCACGTCCCAGGCGTTCTCAAAGACCTGAGCGCTTAGTTATTTCACCGGAGCACATGCGGCGAACAGATCGGTGGTAAGACACAGACTGACTGGATGGCTTGAGACAATGTCTTATTCATGTGTCCACTGACTTTATTTAATATACACAGACAATATTTGTAGTTAGGAATCATAATGGCCATATAGATTTACACGACTGAATGTGTTGTTCTTTGTCATATTCATGGTTTTGTCGGTTTGCTTATTATCCGACTAATAATTTATTGACCCATTATATTACCATACCAATCTTTTCTCTTAAAATGTGAGACCAGTGGCCGATCCGGGTTAGAATTGGTCTTCTTTAACCCATACTTGTCATAAGAGACTACTAGCGGGATTGGGTGGTCAGGCTCAAGCTTACTTGGTTGACACATGCTATCCCAATTCGTGAATCGATGCTCATGATGTTGATCACTGGATTTTATGGTCTAGACTAGATTATTTACAAACCCGACTCCATATAGCTGGAATATTGCTGAGTGTGGCGTTAATCAACAAACCGACCAACCAACCTAAAAGATGTGGCGGCGCTTTCCGGATTATATCTGTTACGTTATGCAGATAACTTTCCAGAAGACGTCTGTTACTGATGTCAGATACAGTGTCTTGAAATAGCCACTGGCCCGCTAGTCCGTTAGCTACGAGAACAAACCCAGTCGGGCCAGTAAATCTTCACAGTCACTGGCCCGACTGGCTAGTGAATTTTCTTGGCGTCATTTTGTAAATATATATATCTCTCTCCAACTTGTTAAGTTATATCACACTTTTGAATCATGCAATATTATGGCCTGATAAAAATGTTCATCATTTTAGCAGCTTAATGATATCTACATTCACATTTCGGACTAGTGAATTTTTTTGTGGGCTAGTAAAATTCAGGCATAGCTAGCCCGACAGGCTAGCAAAATTTGGAAACTATTTCGCACACTGTGTCAGAATAGTTCTCTGTGTTTCTTGAAAACGTCTACAACTACAACCATGTTCCTTGAACGTTTTGAAGTGACGATGTTTCTGGCATAACACTGTTACCTCCAGGCATGACCCAGACCCAGCAGGATAACGTGCTGGCCCGCTTCAGGTCGGGCAGGATCAAGTTGATTGTGGCTACCTCTATTGGTAACGAAGGCATTGACATCCCTGACTGCAACGTGATCGTTCCCTACAACCACACCGGCAATGAGATAACAACGCTCCAGGTTCGAGGTCAGTGGCCAGGTTATAGTACAACCAACCTCTTCATATCTGTACGGTGTCTGTGCTCGGTGTATGTGCTCTGTGTCTGTGCTCGGTGTATGTGCTCGGTGTCTGTGCTCGGTGTCTGTACATGTGTGTACGTATGGCAGTTATCAAGCGGAAATATTTCCTATATTCACCACTGTTTATGTTTTAAAGGTCGAAGCAGGAAGGTTGGCGGAAGAACTGTAAATCTTGCAGACGACAAAGTTCAAGAACGAAATTGTCGCAACCTGGTGAAAGAATATTTGATGAAACAGGCGGTCGACACCATCACTCGAATGCCCTATGACCGAGTTTCAAAGCTAATCAGGTTGTTTCAACAGGAAGTTCTAGCGGCAGCGGAAATCTCAGAGCGAGAAAGACAGGCTGATGCAAGGCAGGCGACACATGTGCAGTACTGTGTCATTTGTAAACATTGCCGGACAGAACTGACAACTGGTGACTTGATGAGAGTCATCAATGGAAGCCAGTATGTAGTGGTTGACAAAACCTTCACATCGAAAATAAATAGCCATGTGCCGAGACAGATAAATGACCAGCTAAAATTTGATGATGTCATTATGGCTGGCGGGATCTCGTGCATGAAATGCCATAAACCACTTGGAAGCCGAATCCTCGTCAGTGGCGTGGTGTTCTACACTCTGGGAATAAAGCATGTTCTATTTCTAATCGATGGAACTCAGGAACCTCAGAAGTTCAAACAGTGGTCGAAGGTCCCCTTCAAACCGAGACCGATGAGTACAGCAGATCAGCAGGAGTACAGCAGACCCTGAAGGAGACCACGCTGGTCTCAGTGAGCGATGAAGCAATGTGATGTATGGACTGTTTGTGATATGTAACGTGTTTGTTATGTACACGTTACTGACTGATTACTTTTTAACTGATATTCCGTTCAGTAACATCCACATGCCCTCGTGTATTTGCGAGGATTAAAGATAAAAAAATAAAACATTGTTATTACCTACGAGGGCGATCATATTTTTCATACGATTCCCTAGGGCAAAATATCACTTTGTCATGGTGACGTGACGTCATGAACAATGCTATGACGTCACGTTTCTTCTGTGAGGCTGCGTTCTCCATGCGGCGGCGGCGGCGGCGGCGGGTAGAGGGCCTATGTTTGAAAGTAGATTTGGGTTATTTTCCTCAATTTGACGACTTCGGTAATAAACAGAATATTATATTCGTGCCCATATTTAAGAAATACACTTCGCTCTACCACCATGTATAGTGTAATAAAACACACTTTTGCCCTGAACTATTATAACGTTAAAGCACTCGGACGCAAGCGTCCTCGAAAGTGTGTTTTATTACACTATACATTGTGGTAGGGCGAAGTGTATTTCTTTTCTAAGATGCCAAATTTAATACTTTCTAAAGATAATTACGATTAATTTAAGGCAGAAAACAAACGACGGTGTCGGTGACCTAAATTAAGAATCCTCGCACAGGGCTAACTGGCGCTGTTCTATTGATGTGTCTGCCCCCTACGTTAAAGCGAACGTTACCAGTAAAAAAAACCAAATGATAACAGTTTGATGACGATTTACGTTCGGATTAAATATCTTCTCTGAATTATTTTAATTACATCTGTCATTAACGTAAACCATATGGGGCAGTATGAACGTTGCATTTCTACTACCAGCGTAAGTTTAGATCAGTACATCCAGAGGAAGTTGAGAAGTCAAGCGACATTCCACAATTGCATTGTGGGAATGTAAACATTACGAACGTTACCGTGTCGCTGAAAAGTTGTGAGTCGAAATGACACATTTTAACCGTCGTAAAACATAAACGTAATGCTTCCACCAGTGATGTTAGCTGCGTGAAGCAACAGCAAACCAAGAAACTGGATGCAACGGTGTAGTTTACTGTAGGAGGCCGTACGAGGCGATGACAACTGACATGCATCGTGACGTCGCTTACATGGTGACGTAATGTAAAATGGTTTGATTACGAGGGGGCACACTAGAATGGCGCAGTGACGGGATAACGTCATTCAATTGTTACGTCATCAAAATACTATACCTTTATTGTCTGATAATGTATTTTTTTCTCGATTGTTCTAACCACTAGGCATCTTAGAACATACTATCTCGCTCGGGAAATACCAACAATTAAGCACCCGTGTCGTAAACATAGTATGACATGGGCACTCACATAATATCCTCTATGAGATGATCCCCAACGCTATATGCCTAACAGTACTGTGAAGCATTCGAGTCGTGGGGTCATCTCAAATTCAGTTGTTTTTGTTTCTTTTTTCGTTGTTGTTGGTTTTTAATCTTTAATCTTCGCAAAGACGCGAGGGCCTGTGGTAAGATAGTGCGTATAGGTGTTGTGCCTCATAAACAACTGTCGCCACACTTTTACTTCAAAAAAACCCCCACAACAGTCAAAATGTTAATGGCCAGGATTCCTCTCGGTCTGTGTTAGTGTTAAGGGATAGAAAATTAATTTAATATAAATACAATACGTTTTTTTCTATTTTCATGTTAGCTCTATTTTTATGAAATATGAAACTATATTGTCTTTATGACGTACAGATCACATGTATTGTCTCTGGTTATTGCAAATGTCTGATGGAGAGAAACGTGCCTCCATAGCCAACTATATGTCACTTTTATGGAGAAGGCAGCTGTTCCTCCAGTGTCATTACTGTATGGAAGGTTATAGCAGGACACCATACACCACGAGATGGTCCTCTACACAGTGTTGTCGAAGCCAGTTTGTATTATTTCATTAAGCAATTAATTAGAACTTTAGTTGTTGCTGTGATACAAACGTGTGATCAATTTAGAGAGTGTATAATCTATTATAATATATACATAACATATATATAGAACAAGCATATTTATACCATGTGTACACAAAATATATATAGTACATAGAATCGTGTTTACATAATACTGTTTTACTAAATTTAGGTTTGTGAATGATCATTGTACTGATGAAATTGGACTTCTGATATATTGTATTCTGTAACACATTTTGCCCATGTTTATCGTAACTATATTGTGTCTATCCCTATTTGGACTACATTGCGTCTATCCTTATCTTCAGTATACATGTGTCTACCCTTATCTTCAGTATATATGTGTCTATCCTTATCTTCAGTATATATGTTTATCCTTATCTTCAGTATATATGTGTCTACCCTTATCTTCAGTATATATGTGTCTATCCTTATCTTCGGTATATATCTGTCACCCTTAACTTCAGTACATATGTGTCTGTCCTTATGTGTACTACGTTGTCTTTGTATATTTGCGATTGGGAAAGCACGTCAGCTTATGGCCTTTCGTCGCTCTGGATTTAATTCCAGGTTCGATATCAAGCATTCCTGGTCAAAACTTTGTGATTACACTCACTCACTGTGTCCGTCCTGTGTGTCCCCACTCTAACTACTCTGGTGTAACAAATAAAGTCATTTGTTTGATGGTCAGAGTTGATCTTGTCTTCGTTGGACAATACAAGAGTCTTAAACACTTTTGGTTTGTCGCAGTTAGAGAAATTGGGGTTTAACACCGTGTGGATGTATGTGACTGAGGTTTCCAGTGCGGTTAAGAATGACGCTGAGCGTTGTTCCTCAAAGTTATTGAAACATTAACTTTACATGTGTCCATTAATAATCAATTAACCCATTAACAGTGGTTCATTGATTCCAGGTGGTATAATCTCTACACATTATGTTACTGGTAGATATTGAACATGGTATACAACGTCACATAGAATGTCCATACGTTACCAATATTCCAGCAATATCACGGCGGGGGACATCACAAATGGGCTTCACACATTGTACCCATGTGGGGAATCGAACCGGGTCTTCGTTGTGCCGAGCTTAACGCTTTAACCACTAGGCTACCCCCCACCGACCCACACCTGAAATAGAGTGAGTGAGAGTGTGCATGCATCTCGGCCGGGGACACTAGAAATGGGTTTGACACGTGTGGGGAACCTAGCTACCCCACCGCCACTACCTGACATGGAAATACAGGAGATCCGTGATGTCGTGATGTCTTCGTCATAGTTAGATCTGTGCATAAAGATTCAGGGTGACAAAAGAGTCTCCACAAACTGTATGGAAAGAGGTATGACGTCGACTTCCCCTTTGTGTCGAGCAATATTTCAGCAGCTCGAGGCTATGGTGTCCACATTCCACGACTTATGAGGTACAATTGAGCGTGCGATTTCAACAAATATCTCGAAGAACGGCATACGGCTGTTGTATACAGGTTGGAATAGCCCTAAATCCGCCATTTTCATTTTATGACGTCATCATCGAACACCTGGCTGACCTCATTTCACAGGGGTGTCAATGACCTTGAATGAGTTGACCTTGGATTAAACCACTTTCCCAGGGGTATTTTTAGATCAGGAGCATAGCAACCGAAAGAGAATGACATCATGGTAGTCATGTACATTTACATGTGTAAGAGTGCGATGTTCATCGTACAATATTGTGTGTATTTGTGACTATTTGAGAATAAATCAATTTTGGTTGTCATTGGTTGATGTGGTGTAACAAAGTCCTAACAAAAGGTAGGTGAAGGGAGAGCAGAGTGGCACAGTGGAAGCGCACTGGGCTCATAACCCAGAGGACCGTGGATCGAAACCACGCTCTGCTAACAACATGTTTTTAGAATTAGGGCTAGCAGACATCTATATAAAGGACAGAAACGGTGATTTAGCTTCATTTAGCCGTGGACCCGTGATAGTGACACTTCATCTGAAACCTCTGTGTGAGAGTCAGTATTCATTCTGAACAAGATAATGAACAGACGATACTGGAGACCCTATTTGGACGATCCTAAGAAATGGACCAAATATTACTATTTGCAGGCTAAAGGATATCCCAATCCCTTTAATAACGTGGATGATTATGTCATCTACTATGAGAAACAAGGGGTAAAGATAGACCTACCCCCTTCTACAGAAAAGTTTGCTCTCACGTCTCCAACCCAACAAGTCGTTCAACAGGCCAGAGCACGTATTCAGATGCAGGAGAATGGGGAAACTGAAGCCAAAATAATGACTTCCTCCCAGAGTCGCACAAAGAAACGGAAGACGTGTTTTTAGATAAAAGCAGCTCATAGACCACCATGCAGTCAGCAACGTGTCCCGTGTGCTATCAGACGTTTTCCAGAAGGGATGCCATGCTTAGACATCTCAGGAATCAACACAGACAAGCAATGCAGCCACCACCACGAGCACCACCACCACCACCGCCACCACCACCACCACCACCACGAGCACCACCACAACCGCCACCACCACCACCACCACCACCACCACCTATGATGCAACCAGTGCAACCACATGTGGGTGCTTTGGAAGAATGTAGACTGATACACCCCTTCACCATGATTGTCTCAGGGCCCACCTCCTGTGGGAAAACGTACTTAGTGAAACAGATTCTAGAACGCATGAACATTAAACCTTATCCTGAACGTATTATTTGGCTCTACAAACGATGGCAGCCCTTGTATAACACCATTCAAACCCATGTTTATCCCTATGTGGAATTTCATCAAGGCATTCCTTCTGATCTCGAAAAGGATGCGTTTCTGGACCCCATGTGGTGAATGTGGTGATCCTCGACGACTTAATGTCGACAGCGAGCAAAGATCCACGCATTACAGATCTGTTTTACGGAAGGAAGTCATCATCGTAATCTCTCAGTGATAGCCTTGAACCAGAATTTGTATTTCAGTAAGGATCCCACACAACGAAGAAACTGCCATTATCTGCTTCTGTTCAACAACCCTATCGATCAACAACCCATCATGACTTTGGCGAGGCAAATGTATCCAGGTAACACAGACCGTTTCATGGAGCCGTTTCAAAGGGCTATCCAGAAACCATATG